AGGTGCCTCTCAGCAGGCTGGTCAGTGGGCTTGGGGCTTGAGGCACCCTGCTCCTGACCTGCTGGGTGGGGAAGGGGAGAGGTTTCTCTGTCCCTCCAAGCACCAGCAGGAGGAACATCCCTGTTCCTCCCACCCCCGTGGCTGCCGTGCTCCCTGGACGCTTGGATTTCTTGCTCAGGTTTGCAGTGAGCGGGAGCTAGTTTGGAGTTTTGAATCCTGGGGTGAGACTCCTCCCATGTGGACAGTCCCTAGGCTGATGGTGCTCTTCCTGCACAGCCTGGCTGTCTGTGCCCTCGTTCAAGCCAAGAAGCTGCTTGGACTTGGGTTTTCCCAGAGTTGCGCCATGTTCTGGGGCTCAGGAGTGGGGGAAGTGGTGGTGGTGCTGGGGGTGCACTGGGGGTTAGGGGTGCCAGAGCAGAGATGACTATCTTCAAAGGGAGATCACAAGTCTTTTGTGGGAAATTGCAGTGAGATTGGAGCTTGGAATTTTTCATTTTCTCATTTTTCAGTAAATAAACAATTCAATCCATACATTTATCTTATTAAACTCATCAGAAATTAAGGATGTACTTTTTTTTATTTGAAGATTTATTTATTTATGCATACAAGAGCTGGGGTACAGGCCAGAGATGGGGGGTGAGAGGATTCACCAGAGATAGAGTGGGGAGCAGAATAGGCAGATTGACTGAAACACACTGCTGAGGGGAGCAGCGGGCGAGACAGGAGAGGTCTGCTGCGCCATGTGGGCTGCTCCCTGGCTGGGGATCGAACTCGTGCTGCAGTGGCTGTGGACAGCTTCAAAGTGCTGTGTTTTAACTCGTTGTGCCACCAGGGAGGCCCCAAGGATATACTTTTTATTGAATTAATATAGGTTCATGATTAAACAGGACCTTTTCCCTTAGCTCATCCCACTCACCAGAGACCACATGTTCTTGTAACTGTTTCTTCTGGTGGTTTCTGCCTCGTCTTTAAATAACAGGCATCACAGCTATTTCTGTTCATCAGTTTTAGATGTTGTCTGTTCTCTCAGTTCGAGCTCATCTCCTCCCTCCCCTGCCTGCTAACATAGTTCTGTTAATCCCTTATTGATTATCTTTGTGACTTTCAGTAAAACATTTACACATTTTTATATCATCCCTGGACACTCTCTCTCTCAATTGTTCTCCCCTTTATCTCTAAACATATCATTTGTATTTCTACAGTGTCAGAATAGATGAGGTTTTATATGGATCCTTTCCATAATTAATACTCTATGTTCTGATGATATATATATGTATTTTTAAAAGATTTATTTATTTATGCATACAGGATTTATTTATTTATGCATGCATTCTGGGGCACAGGCCAGAAATGTGGGGGGTGAGAGGATTCACCAGAGACAGAGTGGAGAACAGAACAGGCGGATGGACTGAAACACACTGCTGAGGGGAGCAGCGGGCAACACAGGAGAGGTCTGCTTCGCCATGTGGGTTGCTCTCTGGTTGGCCGGGGATTGAACTCATGCTGCAGAGGCTGCGGATTGCTTCATAGTGCAGTGCTTAACCCCTTGCACCATCAGGGAGGCCCTGTTCTGACTATATTTTTATTTAAAAAATTCGGGAGGTGCTTACATCACAATGGCAATCATGGGATGCAGTGACTTGGTTTCCCTTCCTGCACAGCTCTTGTTTTCTTTGCTGTTTCTAATCTCTTTCCTCTCGGTGACCCCCATTTTATGCCCTTACTCGCCATTTGTATTGTTCCAAATTATCAAGAATCATCAGGTCTTGGCCTCCTGCAGGACCGCCTTCTGGAACCTCTGTTCACCGAACCCTTTTGAATGTTAACTTCCTCCTCCGCTCTCTATACCTGCAGCCGCTTTCCCCCAGGTCCCTTCTTTTTTTGTTTTACTCTCTCATTTTGCTGATATGCATCCTGAAGTGACTTTATGAGAAAGACTATGTGGGAAATCAATTTCCCAGGCTTTTGTATAGCTGAAGATATCTTTACTTACCCTCACAACTGGTTGCCTTAAATTAAAAAGAAAGTCTTCTGACCTTTCACCATTCTTCTCTCTCCTCATTAGGACACATTTTGTTTGTCTTGGATCATCCTGTGTGTCTTCTTATTTAAAAATATTTCTGTCTCTTGATCTTTCTGTTCTACTCCCTGTGGGACTTTATTTTACTTCCAACTTTTGTGCTGAATATTTAGTTGTTCCTTTGTATCTACAGCAGCTCTATTCTCTCTCTCTGTTGTAACAGCATCTGGTGCTTGTTCTATGGATGTAATATCCCTTGACTATATTAGGGATAAAAGTTTTCCTCTGTCTCCTATATTATTTCTGCTTTTGCCATTGTCACTTTTTACTCTTTTTTTGGTGGATTTTTGCCTTTTTAATTATTGGCTTTTATTTTAGTGGGACTTAGGGAAGAAAATAAACATATGCAGTCCAACCTTTATTGAAAACTGGCTCTCTGGCCTCTTACCACATAGTCTTACTGGAGCATTAGCCTTGAAAAAATTCAGTTTCCCCTCCTGCTCCTGGTCTTCTGAGGGAAATTAACTGCGATTTCAGGAGTCAACAGGAGAGAGTTAAACAGACTAGACTTCAAATACACTTGGAGTAATTTCCAAGTCTTTTATTTCTTTTAAGGCTTCCTTGCTGGGTTTAAGAAGTGTAAGTTTATTCAAGAAGAGACGACCCACGCGAGGGTTATTTTGTCTCCAGCATGAAGATCTTAGATATTCTTGGCCCTCCCCAGTCTGGTCTGCAGCTTCTCTGCCAGATTCCAGTGCCCTTGCCTGTCTTCACCCGTCTGCCATGTGTTCTGCGCTGCTGGGCCTTTGCTCCTGCTGCGTCCTCTGCAAGAAGGTTCCCTCCTCCCTCCAGCCCTCCAGTCACTAACAGCAGGCATCACACGGTCACTCTGCAGTGGGCACCTTTTTGTCAACTGTACTGTTTCGGCTTAGGCGTTGACATGTCTCTAAATCTCATTCTTCCTTCCTGGGTGTTGCAGGTCCAGACAGTCCATCCGACCAGAGAGCAACCCACATGGCGAAGCAGACCTCTCCTGTGTTGCCTGCTGCTCCCCTCAGCAGTGTGTTTCAGTCAGTCTGCCTGTTCTGTTCCCCACTCTGTCTCTGGTGAATCCTCTCACCCCCCACATTTCTGGTCTGTGCCCCAGCTCCTGTATGCATAAATAAATAAATCTTTAAAAAAATATATATATAGTCAGAACATAGAGTATTAATTATTGAAAGTATCCATATATAAGGTTCCCAGGAAAGTTTTAGCTCTTACAACAGAGCAAACTGCCTTCTTTCCGGCTCCCTGCCTTGGTTTGTCCTTAGGAGCTCCTCGAGTGTAGGGGCCACTCTCATGAGCTGGGCTTCCCTGGGTTCTGGCCTCCTGGGCTCTGCAGAAGTGTTGACGAGTCTGGGGAGAGATGGGGAGGGACAGGCTGTCGAGTTTCATTAAAAGCATGTTTATAAAATTAGCAGTTTTGTGGATTAACTTCATGTAAGTTGTGCTCTGTGTTCCTTGTCAGTGGCTCACTGTCCTCAGTTCCCTTCTCTCCTCCTCCTCCGCAGGTGGCAGGGGCGGCCCCATACGCTGTGAGCGCTGGTGGTTGTGCAGAACCATCCACTCGCAGGGAAGCAAGGGCACCGTGGTCTCCTCTGCCTGCTCTGTGGCGTGTCCATAAATAAACGCCGCCCGCCCCCCTCCCCCACCGCTTGTTACAAAGGAAGGGGATATTTTTCTTTCTTGTTTTTTGAGGGGGAACAGGCGGCTGCCATGGAGAACATAGAGCCAGGCTGAGACAGCAAAGGCTTTAAGTGCTGGAAGTTATTGGCGTCATTTAAGGTCTGGTAAAGAAAAGATCAATTTCCTGGGCACAAAAAGCGTGAGACTTGGGATCTTAGCTGTGTGAGAAGTGGAAGGACCCAGCACCAGCCTTTGCTCCTGCGGCTGAGGGCGTGGTGGCTGCTGGGAGCCCCCCGCACCACTCCAGGTGGTCTCAGAGCCCACAGAAAGGCTCTGTCCTATGAGCGTCTTGCTGGGGCTCTGATAGCCCTGCTGTGGGGGCATCTGGTGACTGCCTTGCTGCGCAGGCCTCTCTCTAGAGTGTGCGCCTTGTCAGTGGCTCTTGCTCACGTGGCCTCCTCCTCTGATGATGATAACACAAGCTGACCAGGGTCAGCCAACCCATTTGTAGCTTTAGGCCAGAGACCTATAAGGCTTAGCTGCTGAATGGAGCCCAGGAGAAATTTCTTCTGGGTTCTCCCTTGCTCTGTTCTATCAGTATACAGATACCCCCCGCTCTCAGAAAGTAGAGGTTCCCAGGAAAGCTTTTGTAAGTGGATATGGCCCAAGGGAAGCAGTAATCATCATTCATGTACATGGAAAAAACGAACAATCCCAGATCCCAAAACAACCTGGTAAGCCAGACCAAATTTCCCACCCAATGTAACCCCACATGCACATCTGTAAAAGCGGGAACATGAAGACACTCCAGCCTGTAGGAGGCAGTTCCAGGCCAGGTGTGTGTGGGGGATCTCTGCTGCTGGGGTGTGGCCCTGGACACCCTGGACCGGCTGCTACAAAACCAGCACTGAGCTGTTTTCCAGTTTGAGTTTTGTGAAAGTGAGTGCTCTGAGTTTCTTGTGGGGTGAGAAGCCAGGAGCTCATGTGGGTCTTTCCTAAGCATCATGGGAATTTTCGGGAATCAGGGATCCGCTGTTCTTCCCTGGAGATGTAGCCCCAGGGCTTGGGTTTGTCTCAGTGGAGTTGCCAGCTTGCTGCAGGGTTGGGTACATGCTTCCCTTGCCAGCTTCTTGGGGTTCAGTCATGTTAGCATGTAGCTCTCAACTCGAGCTGCTTGCTCTGATCCCTCCCCTGGTGCTGGGCTCTGTGGAGGGGCTGTCTGCAGGGCAGCGAGCGCCAGCCCGGTGGGCTTTGTTGCTGTCCTCACTGAGTCTCGTGGGATGCTGACACCTTCTGCTTCTTTTTTTGACAGACACCAATTTCGTGTTGGGGAATGCCCAGATCGTGGACTGGCCAATCGTGTACAGCAATGACGGGTTTTGCAAGCTGTCTGGCTACCACCGGGCGGAGGTGATGCAGAAAAGCAGCACCTGCAGGTATCACATCTGGGTGGCTGTGGGGCCATCCATCCTGCTGCCTTTTGAAAAAAAAATGGTTGACTCAGGCTGGGGATCATGTTCATTCTGGAATATTTACTGCAATCTGTCTCTGGGCCAAGCACTGTGCTGGGAAACAAAAAACAAACTTAAAACTTGGTCCCCACCACAGAGAAACCTGCCGTTGGGGGTACGGGGAGAACGGAAAGCTTGGGGAATTCAGTGGGAACTCAAAGGTTTCTGAGGTTGTAGGCAAAATTATGTGAAAGCGAGGAGATTAAATCACTTAAATGAAAAGGAAATGACCTCTGAGATGATTAAGTTGATTAGGAGGTAGAACCCTGGGAAACAGAGCCAGGGAACTGCAGACAGGACCTCATTCCTGGGACTGTTCTCCAGTCCCAGGGTCTGTGTGGCTTCTTGCACAGACTTGGGGTACTGACCCCAGTGTCCTCACTCAGACTTGGGGTACTGACCACAGCTCCTTCGGCCATGGCCTTAGAAAAGCTCCCCCCACCCCCCAACACACACTTTTTTCTCAGAATAATGAAAATGGTTTTACGGAAGCATATTTACAGAGGTTTCCAGGCACGCTCTCTTCTGAAGGTAGCTGGGCAGTGGGTGGGGGCTGCAGTGTTTGTGGAATGTCCCCCTGGGGTCACACACTGGAGGTGTCCACCTGCAGCATCTGAGTGAAGCTAGACTTGGCCAGAGAGGAGATTCTAAAGAACTGCTAGCTGCTTTTAATGAGTACATAGCTCAGCAGAAAAAGGGGGACAGGAGCCCACAAAATTAAATGAATCCTACCTCCCCTTGAAAGAATAAAGATACTCCCAGCCCCTGTAGCAACCTCCAGCCACCTTCGTCCACAGAGCATGTGTGCGTAGCCCTCTGGGGGGCGAGTGCAACAGAGGGGGACTGTGGGAAAGGCCTCTTAAAGGGCCTCCGAGGCGCCCCTGGAGGTGGGTAGCAGCCCTGTGGGCAGGGTGTGGGGCCCTGAGGTTCGGGCTCAGCACCCTCTGGCTCCTGTCACTTCTCAGCCCCTTAGGAGTCTGGGTCCTTGGGGTGCACCCTTGGCTGGCCAACCTGGCCAGAGGTTGACCAGTCCTGGCTGTTTCCCTGTGCCTGACCCCAGCCAGGAACAGCAGGGAGGAGCTTTTCAGATCAGCTAACCTGTCTGTCTGTCTCCCCCTCTCTCTGTCTCTATCTCTGTCTCTCTCTCTGTGCTGCTTTTGTACCGCGTAGTCTGCTTTTTCCCAAACCTGGGCAGCAGGGAGATGTAGAAGTGAGAATTTGCATGATTTTATCATCTTCATTGTTCCTGACCCAACGACTACCCCCATTTTTGGGGAAAGGAAGGAGAAATTGCTGCACAGACCTAGCTGAGCTTTCTCTCCCGGCTGGGTCCTGAGAGCACCAGGTCGCACCCTTTTCTTGTTTGGTTGGCAAATGCCTGCGGTTTTGCCTACCCTTCTGTTTGTTATGCTGGGAATCGGAAGAGGAAAGAGTTGTGTTGCAAAGTCACTTGCCAGCGCCCCAGCAGATGCAGATCCAATCCTGTGAGGCTTCTGTTTCAACCCTGGCCCCCTCATGTGTCCTCGGGGGCATTGCGATGTCTTGTCCAGCAGCCCCTCACTTCTCTGTGCTCCCACTGACCAGGGGCAGCTCCCAGGACTGGCCTCAGCTCTCGCCTCTGCCTTTGCACCCAAGTGCCTCTTGCTTGTAATGTTCTTTTCCCTCCTTTTCTCGGCGGGTTTGCCTGTCTCTGACCTTATCTCAGCCTCTGGGCTCCTGGCCCACAGCAAAGGCACTGAGTCTGAGCCATGGGCCCGGTCCCGCGGCTGAGCCTACTGTTCCTAGGGTGTCTGTCCCTGAGCTGCTGGTTTTGGGTGGGACAGTGATGGAGTAGTGGACTCAGTGATGATTAGCTGAGTCAGTAAACCTTTTAGGATTCATTGCACGTTTTAGTGTGTGTGTGTGTGTGTACCTGAGTGGGCATGTTTGTACAGTGTGTTTGTGTTCATGCGCTGTGTATATGTGTACACACATGTACAGTGAGTGCACGTGTGCAGTGTTGTATTATGCACATGTGTACACGTATGCATACACACGTGTAGTGTGAGTGTGTATGTATGCACACAGTGTGGTGTGTGCACACACGTGCAGTGCATATATGCACACATATGCAGTGTGAACAGGTATGCGTGCACACGTATGTAATGGGTATGTACACACAGTGCAGTGTGTGCACACATGTGCAGTATGTATGTGTACACGTATGTGTGATGTGTGCACACATGAGCAGCGTGAGTATGTATGCACATACGTGCAGTGTGTGTGTGCTCTGCTGCTGGCGAAGCAGATGCCAGACACGTGCCACTTGGCTTGTGCCGCCTGCTCATTAACCGAGCTCTTTGGCCCTGCAGCTTCATGTACGGGGAACTGACTGACAAAGATACCATCGAGAAGGTGCGGCAGACGTTTGAGAACTACGAGATGAATTCCTTTGAGATTCTGATGTACAAGAAGAACAGTGAGTACCAAACCACACGGACCGCCTCTGGCCGCCCAGCTTCACTGACCACCTCCCTGTCCTGCTTGCTCTTCCCCGCCAGCTCCACGCTGTGGCTACAGCTGTTGTGCACACGGGCCAGATGGCCGGTTGCTGAGTCACCCTGTTCCTCCGGGGACATCTGAACTTGGCACTGAGCTGCTAAGACTTCTTGATCTCCTTTTCTGCCAAGAGGGTTTTGTGATTGGTTTACTTATGTTGTGTGGATGTGTGCGGTAGATGAAGACTTTCAGCCTTCCTGGTGGGGAGAGTGGGTGGGAACTGCCCAGCCCGTCTGTGTGTCCATCTCCCACGTCCCCAGCGCAAGCTTGCACCAGGAGGTGCCCCGCGGGGAGTTTCTCTCTGTGGCTTTGTTAGCCCCAGTTTTCTGACCATCTCAACACCAGTGCACTATTCATTTGCATTTGTTTTGGCTACAACCGCTTCCGCCAGTGAGTGTGGGGGTCACCAGCCCCAGAGTGTGAACTCGCTCTCGTCTCGGGAGGCTTCTGTCTGGTGAGAGGAGCCGCAGAATACGGGCAGGAGGCCAGAGCCGTGGCGCGGCCCTGTGTCAAGCAGTGCTTTGTTTCTGGGCTACAAACACTATTTTGTGTGTGAAGAATCTACTCCTCGTGTATAGGCCTGGGTGGTAGGTCGCTGGCTGGGGCAGGGATGCCCACAGCCGCAGATGCTGTCAGCAGAGGTGGATGTGGTCTGTCCAGGTTCTGAGCAGCACATGCTGCTGGAGGCACAGTGTGTGGCTGGGGCTGTGCTATGTGTGTGGGGATGGGTAGCCAGGGCTGCTTGTTGGGGCCTGTGCAGATGCTGATGGGGGGCTTCATTCCAGCAGCAGCAAACCCAAGAGCTCTGCTCCTGCCGGCCTCTGCAGTCCTGGGTCATTGCGGGCACCAGGAGGGGCCTGTTGCTGTCCCAGCCACCTTGGGGCTCACGGCTGTGTCCACTGCCCAAGGCGGTCCTGCCTGGGATGCTCTGCCCCTGGGTGGGCCTGGTTGCTTCCACTGAGGTGCCACCAGCCAGCCTTCTACCCTGCCGCAGACTCACTGAGCTCGAGGCAGCTGGGGTCAGGGCTCTGTGCCACGGCTGACAGAAAGGCCTGAGTGAGGGCACTGTGCTCTGCTGACAGAAAGGCCTGAGTGAGGGCACTGTGCTCTGCGCACCTTTCTGACTTCAGAAAACAGCCCCGGGTGGTGTGACTGCATTCCATTCGAAAGGTGGCGACTCCCTCAGCCCTGAGAAAGAGCAGGCCTCACTGCAGGCCAGGCACTGCCCTCCACAGTGCAGGGAGCTACGTGCAGTCCCAGTTGTGCGCAGCCAGGCCTGGTCTGGGGCCTGCCCCAGGCTTTCCCTCAGATGGGGACGGGCCCCGTCCACACTGGCCCACACTGTCCCCTCCCGGGACACCAGCACAGCTGTTTGCAGTCTGCAGGCAGACTGCCCCTGCTATGCCCCCGGGTCCTCTTCCTAACTTACACAGCGATGCTGGGTACCCAGTGAGCCCAAGGGAAGCAGGTGGGATCCTCCGGCCCAGAGACCTGCCCTCGCCCCATCCCTCCACGCACGCTCCTGCGTAGCCCGGAAACTTTCAGCTGTTTGTGAGCTGGGAGCTATACAGTTGCTTCAGTGCCCCATTTAGAAGCATTACAGTGTATGTGTGGCGGTTCCAGCCCTGCAGAGCAGGCGGGCATGTCTCGGTGGCCACAGCTCTGGGAGATCTCTGGACAGGCTGAGAGGTGGGGAGGAGGCTCCCAGCAGGCACAGGCAGTCAGTGTGGGCCCAGTGTGGTGAGGCTGCATTCATGTGTGTCACAGTTTGGGAGGACACAGGAGGCTGCCTGGAGATGACCCCATGCCTGTGGGGGGAGGGCTGGACTGGGGGTCGCTTCCTGGCTGACCCCTGTATCCAGACACCTCAGGAGCCTCTGTCCACCGCCCACCCAGCCCAAAGCTGGCCTGAGCAGAGCTCTGCAAAGGTTTGCTGAGTGACTCTGAAAGGGGCTTAATGACCAGGGAGCAGCCATGTGAAAGAAAAGCTCAGGAAGCCCTTAACTCACGATAGGTTCTTGGAAACGCGGAGTTTAAGTGAAAGCAGGTTGATCACAGGCTAATTGACACAAAGGAGTGTCAAGTTCTACGGCAACTTTCTGAGCACAGAAAGATTGCCTTACTCCTTGGTCAAGACCCAACGCTCTTCAGGTGGAGCTGTCACCTGTGTTCACTCATTCATTCACTCATTCGCTCATGCATTCATTCCCGGCCCTCTTGTCTTAGCTCAGAGTGGAGGGTGGTCAGGGTCAAGGCAGGACCCACCCTGGCCAGGACATCCTCCCTCCCGGGGACGTCATACTCACCCACACTCACTCCAGCAGGACAATAGAAACTGGACCTTCTCGGTATGTAGAGGAGTGGTCCCCAGAGGAAACCCACACAGATAGGGGTCCCTCCACACGCACAGGGGTCTGGTTGGGAATCCATTGCTTCACCTCCTTGCCGTGAGAACATAAGGACATGGAGTAAAACAGCACTGTTCTGGGCCCGGGGGTTTGTGATTCAGAGTGTGGACATGCGCCTGGAGGAAGCCGGCAGCAGGCTCGACTGCGTGCAGTGGGCAGGAGGAGAGAGAGGAGGCTGAGCTGGCTTCTGTGTGCAAAATTTGTGGTTGGATAGATTGACAGTTTAGCATTTGAAGTCAGAATCGAGCCCCTTGGTGGGGAGTCAACCCTGTTGATATCTGAAATGTGGACTGTCTAAGGAATCTAAGGTGTGTTGGTTTTTTTCTGATTTTTACATCAGCAAATTTTTATTATGGAAACCCAGGGGAGGCATGGAGAAGAGAAACAGGCACTCCAGAGACTCACAGGCCAGCCGCTGACCGAGTGCTGTCTCTTGCGAGGATTGGACTTAGACATGAATGCGATTTGAAATAATCCACTTACTTAAACTTTAGCACAAAAATATCCCCATCTTATAATCCCGCATAAATATGGCTTAAAAAGAATGTTATCAGCACCGCCTCTGTCCTTGGGTTCCTGGGAGGGTCTGGGTTTTCTCTGTTGGATGCTGGGCTCAGGTGTCATCCCAAAACATTCTGGGAAGTTGAGAAATCTTGGGGCAGAGAATGTGCATGTTTTGTCAAATCATGTTCCAGAGCTGCCATGGCTTCCACGCCACCCGTCACTCTTCAGTGGTCAGATGCCAGCAATGTTTTTTTTTTCTGTTTGATGAATATTTCTAATGTTAGGGAGATGGAAGTTTTTTTTTTTTTTTCCTATTTCCTATCCATTTAAAATTAACCTTTTTATGTTGATTGTTCAATTCCCTGCTCATAGTCTATTTAATTCTAGCGATTGTCTTATTCATTTTTAATAAGCTTTTAATGCCGTGTTTTCTTTTCCTTCCCTCTCACATTCTTTTTTTTTTTTTTTAAAGATTTATTTATTTATTTATACAAGCACTGGGTACAGTTTCAAGAAGCGTGGGAGGCTGAGAGAATTCACCACAGCCAGAGTGGGGAACAGAGCAGGCAGACTGACTAGGTACACTGCTGAGGGAGCAGTGGTCGGCAGGAGAGGTCTGCGTACCATGTGGGCTCCTCACTCAGTGGCTGGGGACGGGCAGCTTTGCAACCCAGTGCTCAACCGCTGCGCCACCAGGGAGGCCCCATCCCCTCTCACATTCTTTATCATTTAGCAAGGACATCTTTGCCAAGCAGAGCACTGATAACCATTGGTGCTTGCCCTGAGCGGCAGTGTGAGCAGCAGGCGGTGAGGTGTTGGGAGGGTGGATTATTTGGAAGGCCTCTTTCTGTTACTGGCCAGTCTGACCTGCAAATCTGGCCTTTTCACTCTGCTGTCTATGTTATCTGGTGACGTTACTTACGCTCAGAAGCGTGACCATTTTTCCATGCGGTGACGTCATTCATCTGGTGTTTGCTTATGTGGTCACCTATGCCAGTCAACTTGCGTTGGTGGTTGGCCGATGGTCAGTGTCCATGCATGGAAGCTGTGTCCGTGTCCACTGCTCTCCCAGAAGCCAGGGACAGGCATCTGCAGCAGGCGAGCTGGGCAGCAGGGCACAGCTGTGGCCAAGGGCAGGCCCAGGGCCCGTGTGGTGGGAAGTAGAAGGATCTGACATGCCGCTGTGGGAGCCCCGTCCGGCGCTCCGGTCCACCAGGTGAGCCGCCATGTTTGGCCTATTCTCTTGGGGGCCTCCACACTACTTATCTGGGAGCGCTCAAGTCGGGCCAGGGATCACACATGTGCTGAGAAATACGTTTCCTATTTAAAAATGTTTTCTTCTTTGATTGGAGTCTTTAAAAAAATACCATACAGATGGGAAATTTTTTACGATAGTGTTTTCTTTTAAGGTTCTGAGCTTTTTTATCATGCTTGAGAAGCTCTTACCCAAATAGTTAAAAATATTTTCCCACCTTTCTTTCCTGTACTCTGATACTCGTGTTAAAATATTTAGGACAGTCAACTGTTTGGAATTCCTCTTCCTTGATGGCATGAGGAGCTCTAACTCAGTTGCCCTGTAGCTCATTCCAGTCTGTCAGTTCCACTGGGGAAGGATCCAGCTCTTCCTTCCATCGTAAGAAGCCCTTTTCCCTCTCTGCTCGGTTCTCACACACCCATAGGTTCATTTCTTGTCCGGAGCCGTCCAGAGCATGTCCCGTGTTGCGTATGTGTGCCATGAGTTAAGTTTCGCTTTACCGTTTCGCTTTCGGAGAACCACAGGGTTTTCCTGTAAATCACATGAGACTGGGAGGTACGGGGGGAGGAGCTACCGGGATATAAGAGGAGAACGCGGGGGAGAGAGAGAGAGAGAAGAGAGATTTAAGAGGAGACCCACGAGAGAGGAGAGTGCTGCGAGAGGAGCAGAGAGAAGGCCAGGGAATTAAGAAAGACAGGGAAAAGAAAGACATGGAAAAGTAAGAGAAGGAAAAGGAAAAATAAAGAAGCATGC